ATTAAGTAAAAAAAAAAGAAAACAATACAAATACATTAATTATATAATTAAATAAAAAAAAATTATTAAATTTAACACAACTTTGATTTTTTTAGTGTTACTCATAAACTCTTCATTTCAAGAAAACAAAACAAAAAAAAAATAGAAAAAAAAAAACAAGTATAAGAAAAACATTTAATAAAAATACAAAAAAAAAAAATTAAATATTAATGAAAAATTACAAGAAATTTTGAAACAAAAAAAAAAAAACAGAAAAATAAATTAATATAAAGAAAATAAAAAAAAATGCTAAAATTTTGCTATTATTAATAAAACAAAAAAAAATATATTTAAGTTTTCTATATAAGTAAAAAATATTGAGAAAAAAATCTGTGTTTTATTAATCATAATAATTATAATTACTAAAAATTGTTAGTTTTAATATATATATATATATATATGTATGTATATAAATATATATACATATATATATATATGTACATGTATATGTTTGAGTATATATATATATATATATATACGCATATATATATTAAAGTATATATGCATGATATATATATAAATATATATATATATATATATATATATATATATATATATATATATATATTCATATATATCCATATACAATTATTTTACCTTTTTTTTCATTTACAAAATATTAGCATTATTCATATACAATAAAAAATTACTAAACAAAAATTACAAAAAAGAAAAAAAAAAAAACAAAAAAAAAAAAAGAGAAATCTGGCAACACGCCTTAAAAAGAATATATTATAAAATTTTAAAAAAGAAAAATATAATAAAATAATTACAAAAAAAAAAAAAATAATTACTCCTGGAAAATTGTAAAAATACAAAAAAAAAAAATATTAAACATATTTGATTATAAAGATTTTATTACAACTGCATTTAAGTTTTATTTTTTAATTTCCATTTTTTTTTACTCCTCTTTTTTTTTATGTATTCTTTTCACATATACATACATAATACAAATTTGGGTTTTAATCTATATTTTTTTCTTTGTTTTTTAAAAATATTGTTTTTTTTTTTGGGTTAATTTTAAAACAAAATTTTGCTTATTCTCAACAAAAATTTTGTTGTTAGGCAATTGAGAATCATAAAACTAAAACTATTAGGCCTTTTTCATAAATGCAGTATACCGCGATATATGTATAGCAAAAATTGCACTATATTTATATTCATAAACAAATGTTGCTAAATTTTTGGCAATATAGCGAAATTAGTATGGTATACAGCTCAGTTCAATCATAAGGTTAAATTCATGTTTTGCAATCTGCAAAAGTAAGTATGATGTGGGCAGATCAGTTCAATTGCTATATTGCAACTGCACTACACAATGTAGGTGTGATTTCTAAAAACGCTAAGAAATTGTTTTAAATATTGTAAATTTGTGTAACAAATTTTTTTTATTTTTTCTAATATGATTCATATTCAACTTATTTATAATTTACCTTTAATACTTATATTTTCTTATATTTTCTTTTGTCAATCTTATTCAATTATATACAAAACAAATTTCATTTAACAAAATTGGTAAAGTAAAATTTTATGTCTGCAGAGAATTTTGGCCAATTTTTGCAAAATTACAAACTTCAATCTTATCCTATATTTAGAAAAACATTAAAAATTGTTTGCATTTGCAATAGTTACAATTTTGCAGATTTGCATTTATGATTTACATTACATAGGCAAATACAAGTTCTAAAAAAAATATTATTATTTAAAAGAAGCACAAACATGATTTCATGTAAATGAAAATAGGAAATCCATTTCAAAATTATATTAATGTCTTTTGTTTTATGCATAACGAATGAAAATTCTTTTAAAATTTCTTTTATAAAACTTACAAGTGATTCACTTTTGAAACTGATTCTTACTTCAAAATTCGCAGTTAACGTATTTATGCCCAATTCAGTAATCACAACTCAAAAACTAATAGTGTCTTATCAAGCTTAAGACTAAAATCAAGCAGAAATGCATATAGCTATTATTTCAGAAATATTGAAAAATTTAGCTGGTTAAAAACAGTTTACCAAAATTTTATTAGACTTGTTTTAGCCTGAAATTTTTAAAATCCATTTTAACTTTGTGCTTCTTTATCCTACTATTTTAGGTATCGAACCATGGCTTTTTTATGTTTATAAGGAAAGAACGAAATTTTGTTTTTGATTCTCAACTAAACATAATGAATCTCATCTTTTATTTATGGATACATATTTTAAATATATGTGATTCTCAAAAAAAAAAGAAAGATTAATTAAATTTTGAAAAAATTCATTTTATCCAATTAACTACATAAATTCCTCTTTATTTTACTTTTTTCAAGAAAAAACATTCTTAATGTTAGAATTTTGTGGCTTACATAAGCGCTATGTCAAAGTTTTTTTTGTTTTTATCAATTAAATCAATAAAATATTTAAAATTTAAGATTACAAACTCAATTTAATTAATTCATTTTAATGCGCGGCGCATTATAATTAAAATTTATTTAAAAAAATATAAAATATAAAGAAATACATTTTTAACCCATGATAAAAATTTATATATTGCACAGAAATAGAAAAAAATGTGTAACATTAATAGCTTATAAATAGAAGTAACATTTAGTAATTAAATGGAACTAAAAATTCTAATTTACAGAACCATTAATCTCGATAGAAAGTAAAATACTTTTTTTTTAGCATTTTTTCTTTGAATACATTTTAAAACTTCTAAAAATTACTTGCGGTTATGAAATTCCATCATAAATGTTATGAGTAAAGTTACGGAAAAAATTTAGAGTTTCATAATCGCATTCCCTATAATTTGATTTAAATTTCACCAAAAAATATGATTAAAGCGATTCAAATACAAATTTTTTTTTCGGCTCAATAAATTATATGCAATATAGTTTCTTTAACACAATATTTATAATTTATATGATATACAAAGGTCCTTTCATAAACGCAATATATTGCGATATATAGCAAAACCTCCCCGATGTTTGCATAAGCAAATGTTTTTTTGTATGTAAACATGTCTAATTTTTTGCAACACATATTTATTTATGAAATTAGTATGAATACCGCAATTAAATCATGTAAAATGTTTTGATTTTATAGAAATCAAAAATATATTGCATATTCATCCGGTTATGTTTTTGTAGTATTTATATCTCGCACTATGAAAATCGAAGTATATGAAAATCTGCACTATCCCTAATATTATCAAATAAAGTTTGAAATATAATTGATCTGTTCGCCACTCTATTTACTCCATTTTTATTTTAAGAAAAATATTCAAATTTTTTCTTTAAATTTTTAGTACGCTGTAATTTTGTTTTATTTTTATAATTTAATCACCCTGTCGTAAATTTTATTGTTTCAAAAAAACTGAAAAATTAAAATTAAAAAAAGATTTCAAAAATGTTTAAAAAAAAATTTAAAAAAAGATGATGAAGAGGACAGCATATGGTTTGAAAATTATATTAATATAAATTAAAGTAAATAGAAAATTAAATTGATCTCTGAACGTAAAAGAAAAACTATTAAAATTACAATTCAGAGAAAAATTTTTATTTGAGTTCATATAATATTAAAATCGAATTAATTCTTTGTTTAAGTCAATTTAAATTATTTGAATAATCTTCACATTTATATAATATAATCCATATAAATATAATAAATAACATATATAAATATTAATCTTTTGAAGTTCAAAAATTTGGTGATAATTTCCAATAAAAAAAAAGCAAAAAAATTTAGAATTTTATCAAAATTATTTTAAAAAAAAAAACACAATAAAATTTTCAAACCATTAAATGAAATTGAAAAAATTTTTTAAAATCTTGACATATACATATATTTTCTTATAAAAGAATTTTTAGTACATTTTTGGAACGGAGGTTTTTGACCCGTAGACGGTTTCCTCCCATACACAAATGAACATTTTAATGGAAAACAGAATAAATACAAAAAATGAAAAATATAAAAAATTTACCAAAATTAATCTATGCAAAATTTGAATAAGCAACAAAAATAAATTAAAATAAAAAGAAAATTAATGATTTTAAAATCACCTTCCAATTAAAAACAAACAAAAAAAAAAACAAAATGAAGCTTAAAGTACTAAAAAAGAAAATTTTAGTAATTCCTATATTGTAAATCAAAAATAAAAGCTGAAAAATTAAAATTGAGGAAATAGAATAAAAATTACTTCAGAAGAATTAAAATCCGGAATAAAATTTGCGTAGAAAGAAACCTTAAAAAGTTTTTTTACAGTTAATATTAAAAAAAAAAAAGAATAAAAGAAATTTGTGTACCTAAACAAAGATTTTGTTTTAATTTAAATATTTTTAAAATTTTTATTTTTAAATTAAAATTTACAGTTTTATAATGGCAATAACTGTTTTTGTTGGATAATACATTATTTCGAGCAATAACTGTAGACAATAAAAAAAAATAGGAAAAACTATTATGAAGTATTGAGTTTCCCTACTGGCTTGACTCTAAATTTACTTGCCAAAATTGAGCCAGTAAGAATGACGTACATATTTATTCATAATTGGGTAACTTATACATATTCGTATAAGATTATTTTTCGAGAGAAAAAAAATATTTCGCATTACTTCCTTGGGTTTAGCCAAAATTTATACAAATTTTAGTCACCATAAATTCAGTTTATTTTTTAAGGTAGTAACTTCAATGAATTATTTATGAAAAAAATGCGAAGATCTAATTGAAAAAATTACATCAAATATAGAAACAATGAGAATTCTGAGTTATACGAATTCAATAAGCCAAAAAAAGAAGACGCAGAATAAACCCTTGTGTATAAGAAAGTGCTGAATCTCTTTTGCGCAGTAATTATTTTCAATTCACATAAAATTGTGCAGGATAATGTTTTCAGCGCATAGACAAGAGCAGCAAAATTTTAAGTAACAAAAAGAATATTTTAAATAGAATACTATTTTTTGTTCAATAAAACAAATTATGTTTTTCACAATTAAATATAATCTAATCATAATAATACTTAAACTTATAATAAATACATATATGTAGATATTTCCATAATTTTTATGGAAAAATATAAAATAAAACAGTTAATATTTTAAAAAATATATTTTTTTTTATTAAAAATGTGGAAGGCAGACTTTTCCAGCGAATAGTTCCGAAACTACTGTAATCCATAAAGCTAGTACAAATATAATATAAGAAATCCCAATTTTATATGTGTTAGGTAATTGATAAATCTGCCCACCAATTTCATCTGTATGAAATCCCAATGGGAATATAACAGCTGCTAAGCAAAACAGTACCATGGCCGTGAATCCTACCCAACGAGCATATGGAATAACATTTCTATCCCAACTACTTGATGCTAATAATATTATCGTTGTTGTTATACAAATGCAACCAATAAATATGCATATCTTTAAAAAATATAAAATATTTAGTATTTCAAAATAATTAGTACACAATATATTATTTTACCAAAGCTAAAAGCCATTCTGTTGTTAATTCGGGAGTAAAACATATTTGTGGTCTGTTATATAAAGTCATACATGTCCACATCAAACCAAGACGAATTTCACCGCTCTCTTCAGAAACAATCCAGTCGGGCATAGCTAATGATGTCTAAAAATAAAATTTTTATATTTAATATTCCGATACCGAAAATTTATTTTTAACCCACTATGGCAAATACATCTGCAGCTAAAAATAAAGTTGCACTAATTGTTGTTAATTTATCCATAATGTTTTAAGTGAATAACAAAATTATTTCATTAATAAGTCAAAATCTTAAAAATATTTTTTCTCAAAACAACCTAAACAAAACATTCTTATCAAAAGTTTATTTTCATTTCAATTAAAACAACATGACATTGACATTTCATAATAAATTTTTTGTTTCAATTTCAGTTTTCAAATTTTCTTTTCTTAAATTAGAGCCTTATTTGACATTGATTGTTACGCCCAATAAACTGTATTTATAAATCATCATACAAACAAATCCCCAAATTACTATTCCTTATTATTCTTTCTTTTTCTCGTCTTTTACTATTACAAATTACAATATTCTTAAAAACCAAAATTAATTAATTTAGCGCTATACCTAATTGAACGTCAAGAATTTAGCACTATCATTATAGCACACAGCTAGTGGATTCGGTATGCTGTTGTCAAAATTAAAAAGTAGTTTTACGTATTTGAATATTTACTACATAAAGTGCCACGCGACACTTCAATAAATTCGAATTTTAAATTCCAATTCCCGCGTCCATTGTTCAACCGCGAACCAATTTTCGTGGCTTTTGACGTTTTTTTCCAAATGTCAATTATAAATTTATAACCAAAAATAGGTATTGCTGCTTAGATTATTTCGGGTGCGGCATGTACCGCCAATGACGTAATTTTAACTACCGGATATCTATTTAAATTTAACCTTTTACTATATCCATTTAAATTTACCGCTTCGTGTGTTTGGAATTAAGAATTTGATTATCGCTTTTTTCAGCTTAGTATGTTGAAAAAAGCAAGAATCATATTTGTTTTCTTGGAATTTAACTTCTTTTTAAGGTCATAATTTCCAGAAAAGGAGAAAGAACAATTTTTTTATTATATTGGAATAAAATAAAGTTTTTATTTTATTCCAAATTCGGTGACATATGGTTTTGGTAAAATAATGCTAACACTACCAAGTTTTTTAAATAACAACGTTAAAAAAGAAGTTACTTAAAACTGTCATTTCCCAATTTATTATTAGTTTCAAATACAATATATATTTACATATTTATATGGTATGGCTTTGTGTAATAAATTAAATGAAAATTATGTCCAGAACATTAAAGACAAAAAAAATTAATTTCAGTAGTGGCCACCACATTAACCAGATAATTTCACAAAGAAACTGTTAATTGAGTACTTGTGATCTCAAAAAATTTGTTTATTTGCAAATTTGACGTTTACAACTGTCATAATTTTGACAGAAATATGGAGCGCTGGTTTTCAGTACCAAAGGAAAATTTAGGCCCCACAAAATGAAGTCCAATTTAATTTGCTGCGTTTTGTGTTAAATATATTTGGCACAACAAAAAATATTTTATTACAAATTCGTAAAATATTCTCTAAAATTGCTTAAAAACATTGAATTATTAAATTAAAAATACTGCTCTTAATTTTTATCTCAATAAAAACTAATAAACATAAAGTGAAAATCGTAAATATATATTAAAAACTGACTTAAGAGAAAACTATAAAGTGAGACTTGTCAAGTGAAAACTTGAAAGTATATTGCTTTATTCTGTAAATAGTGAAAAAAATTGTTAGTTTTTAATATTTTTCTTACATAAAATTATATTAAAGTTTTTAAGATTGTTTTGTATGCTGATTTGAATAGTAAAGCATATTAAATTTGTATTTAAAAGAACTGCTATAAACAAAGGCTGGTCTCCGTTTGGAATGCCAAATGCGCAAGCATTTTTTAAAAGTCGTATGAATGAAATTTTTATAACAGTTAAGAAGAAAATATGGCAAATTTTAATTTTCAACAACCCCCCAGAAGTATGGCTAATGCCACATTAGCGGGGAGAAATTCAGGAACGTTTGGAGGAAATTCATTGTCAGGGCATGTAACACCAACCTCGGATATGTTTCCAATTGGTGGTGGGAATTATGGACAGCCACAGCCGCCACAATTATCTCCTAATCGAAATATGCAACTTTCGGTGAGTGGTGGCGGACCTTCGTTAACGGCGGCGGGTGGAAGATCAAATATATTTGGCAGCCAAAGACCTTTCAATCAAAGAACGATGACAGGATTAAGTGGTGGTGGTCCTATGTCTAATATGAATTCATTTATGCAAACATCACGGGGTTATGGTTCAGGTAGTGGTGGTAACGCTCTCAATAATTTTCATTCTGTATTTGTTGGTAATACTGGTGATAGCTCAACGCCAGCGTTGCTTGATCTTTCAGAATTTCCCTCGTTAACAAATGCTAGAGGTCAAAATGATCAATCACTGCCACAATCAAATCCTCTGCAACCTCCCGGTAGTAAGCCATATGTGGGGATGGTTAAACAGCCGACAATGGAACATTCTGAGTTTCAAATGTCAAATGAAGATTTCCCTGCGCTACCTGGAACGCAAATAACTGATGGTACAAATAACACTGGAAGTGGAATAAGCGATAATGTAATGGACAATGCGGAGAAAAATCCATCATTAGTGGGTGAGTTTTATTACAATTTTTTTTCATCAATATGCATTTTTTAATTTTATTTGAAAAAATGCAAACATTATTTATTGTTAAAATTTACGAGATGTTCTAATATAATTTTCTTTAAGGTGGTGGAAGTGGAGGAATAGGAGGTACTGGTTTAGGAGGAAGTATTGAACACCAAAATGACATAAGTTCGAGTAGTGAAAATGCAATTAAACGGGGCGTGCAAACATCACCCGATGGAAAGGTAACAAACATACCTGCTAGTATGGTCAATAATCAATATGGCATGGTTGGTTTACTGACGTTTATACGAGCAGCCGAATCTGATCCAAATTTAGTTACATTAGCTATGGGACAAGATTTAACAGGCTTAGGATTAAATTTAAATTCTCAGGAAAATCTGCATCCTACATTTGCTGGACCTTTTGCAGATCATCCATGTCGAGCTCAAGATATTGAATATAATGTGCCGCCCGAATATTTAATAAATGCGTCGATACGAGATAAATTATCAAGTCTAGCACTGAAAAAGTATAAAGATGACCTATTATTTTTCTTGTTTTACACAAATGTTGGTGATGTTATGCAATTAGCAGCAGCAGCTGAATTATTTAATCGAGATTGGAGGTATCATGTTGAGGAAAAAGTTTGGATAACTAGAATTCCTGGTATACCGCAAATTGACAAGAACGGCACAAAAGAAAATAAAACGTTTTATTATTTTGATGCCCAAACATGGAGAAGAGTCGTAAAAGATTTCCAAGTTGATGGCGATAAACTGGATAAATGTCCGACTTTAAGTGCATTGAATGGACAGTCTGTATAAAATATTATTAATGAATAAATATATTTAACGATAAATTTAGAAGCATAACTTATTTTGTTTCATTAGGTGATTTTCAACAAACGTTTTTTGTAATATAAAATCAAGGATCATATTTGGGAATAATATGAAATATTTTGTTATTTAAAACGTGTGACGTCGATTTGCTATCCATATTATTTCAAAAATCTTACAAGGATGTTTAAAGTTATGCGAAAATATTTTTTTTTTAAATTTTTAGAAAAAACGTTTTTACTACTAATCTGTAAACCTTGTGCCTTGAAAATCTTACTTGTCTTATATATCTTATATATGTATGTCGTTCCAATATAATTTAAAAACTACTTAGACGAAGATCGGCAACCTTTCATCTGCAAAATTACAAGCAGTATCGTTTTTATCAACATTTAATCTGAGCCTATAATTAATCAGAAACACATTTTTTCCGAAAAAGAATCAAAAACTCACAAAAATTTAAATTTTTAGGATTTTATTTATTCAAACAAAAATTTTAGTAAAAGTTGAAAGCAGAAATATGATATTCGTTTTATTTGACAACAACATAAATGTTCGCGCCGAAAAGGATGATTATGTTTATACAATTAAATTTTAGTAAATTTTTTTTCCTAAATTTTAATTAATTATTCAAGAGGTCAAACAACTTGACGGGTAAATTATTTCTACCTAGTTCTAGTTATCGATTATTTAAGCTTAATATAACACAAACTTAGTATATGTATATCAATATGGTTTTTACTTTTTATACAGAAATGTTCAATAAAAAAATTACATAAATTATGTATTTACAACTTTAAGTTGTATTAAAAATTAAGCACAAATTTTCAAGAAAATTCGAACTGTAAAAAATATGTAGAACTTCAATTATAAACTAGTTTATAAACAATATTTAACTAAAATTTCAATAAGTAACTATTATTTGACTCAAATCAAATAATATGCCTGAACTGTATTTGTATCTTATTTACGAATTTAAGAGAACGTATCTTAGGGATTAGTAATGTTATATTATAAAGATAAATAAATAAGTTAATCTATTAGGTTTCATTGTGTATACTAGTATGTGAAGCCAAATTAGCAGCACTGCTAAATTCTGAAATAGATAATTGAAAAAAAAGTTAATCATGAATTCAGCACATGCATTATGAAACTTACCTTTATTGCATTTCGTGCAAGAAAAAACTTGCGGTACAACTGTAACTTGTTGAAAATTTTCTTGTTCTTCTTTAATGTTGTGACGTCTTGAGTGAATAACCATTGAAGACCTTTGATTGAATAATTTGTCACAGTATGGACATTTATATGGTTTTACGCCAGTATGAATTCTTTCATGAACATATAAATTAGATTTTGCACCATAACCTTTTCCACAAAATTTGCAATTGTATGGTTTTTCTCCAGTATGAGTTCTTTCATGCAATGTTAACAAACTTCTTGTTCTAAACTTAGAAGGGCAGTAATTGCAGTTGTAAGGTCTATCTCCTGTGTGGTATCTTTTGTGAACAGTTAGTGATGATTTAATCTAAGAATTTTTTTAGATTTAATAATTTTCTTAAAATGCTAGGCAAATATATACCTTAAACGTAGAGCCACAAATATCACAAGTATAAGCAGGTAAGTTCGTTTTAGGTTTGCTATTACCTATAGCTGATGGAATCTTTACCTCAACTTTTGATTTAGAGGGGCGACCCCTGTTTGAAGTTTGGGGCTGGCCAATGCCTAAAACAACACCTAAGAAAAATGGTTTTAAATTACTGAATTCATAAGAACCTACCTGTATATCCATTACCGTCATCCAAGAAAGTCTGAAGTATTGTGTGTGCAGAATTACAATGAATCGTGGGTACAGCTAAGAATGGTTTTATATAAACAAAAAATGTTTTAAATGCAATATTAAATGTAAAAATGTTACCTTCTTCTTTGAGGAATTTTTTTAAACGTCGTTTACCATCAACACCAGAAACTTCAATTGTGTAAAAATCATATTCTATAAAATGTTCAGAGCATAATCTCCATGATTTCCAACTTCTTGTATTCTGAGTAGTGCTGCCTATAAAAGCTAACCAATACTGACGAAAATGTTCATTCGACGGTAAAGGAAAAAATGATAACTCGTTGCCGGACGACTCATTCATATTTTCATAATTTCTGCAGCCAGGGGCCACACAATAGGATGCCATTGTCACTGCCAGTTTAGTGGATTTTTTCTCAAACGTTATGAAAGACTAAATTATTAAATAGCTGCGTTCTTGATGTAAAGGAAACCCAAATAGAAATTTTAGTTTACAATATGTCTAATTACAAACATATCCAAATTGTTGATTTCTTTTCTTCGCTTATTCTCTTATTTTATTTTAGCGTTCTCTGATGTTTGCAACAATTCCCAAAAAACAAGTACATACGTCAAAATTTTTTGAAATATCGTAAAAACAAGGAACTGCCAGATCTTGTTTAGTTTTCAACGACGTATATCACACATTGTCTGTCTAAAATTTGCGTTGGCATTTATATTTAGTAGTTTAAAATTAGAGATTAATTTTTTGTCATTGGACTTATTAAATTAAATGGGAATTGGCATTATATTTAAAAAAATATCTTTCTACCGTTACTAAAATAACCTTTTCATATGTATTAATAATAATTATAGCCAAAGAAAATAGATTATCCTATGCGTCCGTACCTTGTATTCGGTATATTAATTAATGATTGCTATATTAATTAATGATTGTTTCATCCTGTATACTGATTTTAGTAAAAATTCATTGTAAATTGTGAAACGAGATAACAATTCATTTTATTTGAAAATTGTGTGCCATTAGGAAATTGGCATTTTGAAAGCAATTCTTCATGTAGCTTTAAACTGTAGCTTAAATATTATAAAAAATTAAAAAGTAATTTAAAGTATGTATTTTTGTATATAAGAAACGAGCTAAATTTTCCTGCAACTACACACGTCCAATCTTTTAAGATTGTTGAAATACCAAATGTCACAACTGTCAAAAGAAATGTGCTATTGTGCTTTTTGATAAGTTTTACATTCACACAATCACACGTGGTAAATTATACTTTGTTTTTTTAATTTTCTAGCAGTTTTTGGTTTATAAAATAATTTAAAATTGTAAAAGAAAACTCAATATGGGTAAAATTAAAGAAGAACCTTTGGATGAAAGTACTGCAAATGTTACAATAAAAGAAGAAGATACTTATGATGAAAAATTGAAATATGTAAGTGCGATAGCAAAGCCAATGGCTTCGAGGAAGCTGACCAAAAGATGCTATAAATTAGTAAAAAAGGCAATGAAGCACCGAACATATGTGAGAAATGGTTTGAAAGATGTACAAACTCGTTTAAGAAAAGGAGAAGTAGGGTAAGAAAAAAAGAATATGTAGATGGCTTAACATTACTAATTGTATTTTTTCTTTTCTAGTATTGTATTGTTTGCAGGGGATGTCACCCCTATAGATATAATGTGTCATTTACCTGCTGTATGTGAAGAAAAAGGAATTCCTTACACATATACGCCCAGCAGAGCGGATTTAGGTGTAGCAATGGGTGTTAAAAGAGGAACAGTCGCATTATTGATTCGGGAACATGAAGAATACAAAGACCTTTTTGATGAAGTTAAAAATGATATAAATTTATTACCTATTCCGGCGTAAGCCGCGTAATCATTCATTTTATAAAATTTACAAAATCATACCTATTTTTAAGTTTTTATTAGAAATAAAACGAAGAAATTAATTTCTACTACAAAAAAACCCAAAGCTTCTATTTGTATTCAATTTATATTTTATTTATCTTATATTAACATTTCTTTATATTCTGGGTTCTTTAATTTGGGCTGGTGGCCAATCCCACTGCTTTTCTGGAATTGGTTTCATAAGGGGTTCCCATGGTTTCCATCCAAGCATTTTCCTTGCTAGAACCAATTCATTTTCGGCTTGAATTATTAGTTCTTCTACTTGTCCACAGTTTATTTTCTTTTCAACATCAGCAACGTTAGGTGTCTAAAAAATTGTTCCGTTTAGAATAATGAACTTAAATACACGTATATATATAAATCAATTTTGTATGTATATCTATTATTACATATAAATTATAAAAAAAAAATTTTGTATTCCTACTTTTTTGTTTATATAAAATCAAGACATATACTTCGGTAGATATTCTCAGAACTTGTATTTGGAATATAAAAAACATTTTTCTCCCCACTTACAGTTTTAACGATATTTGCCCTTTCTTGAACTATTTTTTCCGTATTTTTTCTGTATCCCGCATCTGGAGGCATCTTAGCAAGTACTCTTAAGATTTTTCCATACAAGCCAGTTAAGGTGTGGTGAGGATTCACAGCAACCGCGAGTCCGGTTAGGCCGGTGGACTAAAATAAAAATTTTTGTCAAAGACAATCCTTTATAGCAAAATTGTTATTACGGGTTATGTAACATAACATTTATTACTGATATAATTATTAAAATTTTGTTAATCACCTTTTTCAGAATACCAGCCATTTTACTACAACTTTATTTTCTTTAAAAGCAAATTTCTTTTATAATAAGAAAGATTCAACAAAAGTACGAAAACAAAATGAATGTAGTTTTTGCAATTGTTCACAATTGTCAGCTGGATTTTATATTTATAAGACAAGATTTTGATATGTCAACAAACATTCGATAAATCAAAAAAATATATATGCTCTGTTTTGACAAATATTCTAACTCCAGCACTACACCGGCAAATGTCAATGTAATTTTATTGCATATGTCACAAAAATAAATGAGTTTCTATATTACATACATTACTTACATATATTGTGCAGTCGTCATAAAATTTTTTGCTGGAAATTGATAAAAAAATCATCCCCTACAATTATTTGCTACTCTATGCGAAACACCCTATATATCTAAGTATGTATATAATATGTATGTGGGTATTTGAATTTATGATTCCACTGTACCAAATAAAGTAAACTTCCTTTTGGACTCAACTTTTAATTACAATTTATTAACCCAGGCTGTGGTGCATCAAAGTTCGAATTCAATTTAGACTAAATTGGACTCAATTTAATTGAATTGAAAATTTTTATACTGTATAACTGTTTTTATACTCAATTGAAAATTTTTATACTGTACAATGTACATAATATATGTTGGAAATTGCACATATCCTTATAAAAATTATTTACTTATGTAATTGTACATAATTGTATATATCATAGATACATTATATATCTGCATACATACAACTTCATGATTTAAGACCGTGATTTCAGAAATGCAATATACAATACAGCTGTTAAAATTCAAAAGCTGAATTGTGTTTGATACCGTATTATTGCAATTTTGAAGTCTGCGTATTTTGAAGCGTATTTCTGCTGAAGAATTTCCATAGAAATTCTTTTCTTGTGCGCTCGAATTACATTTTTTTAAGCAAAAATTCTATATTAATGCAAAATTCAGCTTATAAATGCCAATTGTACTGTAATACGATATTATTGCAATTCCGATATCGGATGTATACTTGAACGTGCATGTACATATAAAATTAATTTTAAAATTAAAATTTCGTGCTTAATATTTGTAATGCAGCAATAGAATTATGATAAAAGAATAATAGTGTAATCCTTGGTTCCAATCATATAAATTCATATAATATATTTTGAAGATTTGTTATTGTGTATAAAAAAATATAACTGCAAAGTTATAAGGTTAACTGATATATGTACATACATATGTACATAATATTCCTGATTTCAAAACTGGAAAATTAAATGTCCAACATATTTATTATATAATTTCAAATATTCAATATGTAACATTTTTATTATACAATTCTAATTTATATTGTTTTTGCAGTAATTATAAAAAAACCTTAAAAATTCCTTTAAATCTTTAAGCGGAACTGGCATTTACGAGCATGCTACCTTTGCAAATTCTGCAATTTGGATTTATCGAAATTCTGTTACTGCAATTTTGAGTTCACGGTATGTATTGTGTTACTTTAATATTGACTTGGAAATTTGTCCCATTGTCACTTCTAGATATAAAAACCCACATATATGAATTCTGTGTTTTAGGAGCTTTTTATTTGAGAAGCTTACACTACTGTTAAGGGCATAAAACTACGAAAAAAAAAACAAAAAACATTAATTTTATTTCGTTTTCAGTTTATTTGTAACAATTATTTTTGTATGATGTTCAGAAATATCTTCTGCTTTATTTTTCAACTTGTGTGGTTATTTTTTTCTTTCAATGTTTGCAGAACAAATACAGTATTTTTAATTTGAATAAAATTATTAAAATAAATTAAATACATGTAAATCTTATAATAATAAAGATGCCTTCAATGCAAGAATTTTTTTTTGATTTATTAAAAAATCAAGAACTAAAAAAAAAAAAAACGGAAAACACTTTTCACTTTTGATGAATCAGATCTTAACATAAACATTTTTGTGAAAATTAATAAAAAAAAATTTACAAGCTCTTTTCTAGCTTAATGATTTCAGAAATGCCATCGTACATTTCCTTTACAGCTTGGAATTCAGTAAGGCCCATACGACGTTTATTTGAAATATCATAAATACCGCCTTCAGCTTCTGTGTGTTCACCGCGTGTACCACGGACTTGTAAATTGTATTTACCGGCAACTTCTTCCAATTTAGCTTTGTTGGCAGCCAATTTTGGTACTTTAATATGTACTGAGGCACGAATGGTTGTACCTAAATTGGTTGGACAGAAAGTCAAGAAACCAAGACGATCGTGATGACTGAATGGAATACGTTTTTCAATATCATTAACAGCTGTAACTAAACGACGATATACTTGACCTAAATCACCACCCATTTGCATTGAGATAATACGTAAATGATCTTCTTCATTACACCAGATCAAGAATGTTTTGGCATCATTATGGTAAATACCACGACCGCTTGGCCAGAAACGGCATGCATTAGCAGCTTGTAAGAAACGATCACCTTCTTTGAATAAGAAGTGATCATCGATCAATTGTTGTTGAACAGATTTTTCCATACCAGTCAATGGATAAAATTTACCCTTTAATTCACCTTCTAAACCAGCTAAAGTGCTTGATACTTTTGCTTCCATTTCTTTATATTGAGCTTCAGTTAAACATGGATTGAATGGATAACCTTCCATTGAACGACCGCAACGTACACGAGTTGATACAACAAATTCACCGGTGGGATCAAGATTACCAAATGCATTAACATCACCAAATTCTTTTGGTGGATGTTTATCGGTTTTTTTGAAACCGGTATGGTAATCTTCAATCATTGGATCAAAGATTTCAGAGAATGTTGAATAAGCTTCAGCATCTGGAGCATAAATACCAAAACCGGAGTCAAGATTTTCAACACCAGATTGAATACAATCCAAAAGAGTTGAACCAAAAGTTGGTGTTTTTAAATTCTTCAATTTATCGAAGACTTCCTTAGTTAAATGCTTTTTCAATAATGATTTGGAATCGGATGCAGCTAATTTAGCAAATCCAGCTTCCAATTTTTCAAGTACAGCAGCATCAACCATGGTGTCGGTATTTTTTCTAAAAATAAAAAATAAAAAATAATTTATTTTAGTAAATTTGCTTTTGATTAAAAAAACAATAAAACGATGATGTCATTGAATAATTTTATTAATATTTTAATTAACAGTAAAATTTGTCATTTTAAAATTTATTTGAGTGAGAGTGTATTAAACTTATATTTTTACTTATTCTAACAATTTGTTATACGAAATATTTAGGTTTTAATATTTCATTTGTTTTTTTTTTTAAATTATAAAATTTTTGCAAATATTTTATACTTTTGAATTGAAAATTTTTTTTATTTTTTTTTTTGTACATACTTTCTTTTAATAACTTGCTGAACAGTTGAAATGGCGAATTTTCTACATGACAAAAGTTTTTTTGCATGTTTAGAAAACATGTTTTGTTTTGCTTAAATACTGGAATATAGTGTATGTATATATTTAATATTTATTGTGTTATACTTATATTATAATTATATACAAAAATAAATTTGCAAATTTTGACATCAGGATTTATCAGAATATAAAATAAGAAATTGTAAATTATTGTGCAGTTAGGTATGTTTAAAAAAAATTTTTTTTCAGGAAAATGTAATTAAAAATAACACTTTTTGTATATCGAAACATTATGATTTTGCAATTATTATAAAACGAAATTTTGTTTCTTATAATGTAATACATATTAAAAATTAAAATCGCGTGTTTATAAATCATTGGATGTTGACATACATATAGATGATACCTGGCAATACATACTATAACAAAAAAGGAATAAAGAATAAAGGAAAATTAAGGGAACAGAACAACTCATTTATTTTGGTTCTCAATGGTTTTTTTTTTTTTGAATAATTTCATAAATATATTTTTTAATACGAGTATATGTTTATGAAATTAGTGTTGAAATTTATAATTTTGTCAAAATTATATAATAAAAATTATATTAAGCGGTTCTCCTTTGTCTTACATAAAACTGTCATAATTTTACATTTTATAAGGTTCGTATATTACATTATAAATACTTTTAATAAAGTTATAATTTTAGCAGTAATGGACAGCCAGCTGTAACTACTATGATGAAATAAACATTTTAAGTAAACTATAAGAGTCTAATATGAATCAGATTAAATATTTTAATCTTCTAAAATCTAACCAATAAGATCCTATAAAAAAAAAATTAAAATTAATTTTTTTTTTGTATACTTTTTAGGAATTCAACAAAATGATATTGCAGAACCTTTCAATAGACCCTAACGAAAATTGTAAGAGATTTAAGATAATAATATGTATATAGTTGCTTATAATATATACTACGAATCGTTCTATAGCCGGTATTACAATTTGCGGTAGCAGCAATTCCGCAAGCACGAAGTACTCATCAGCTATTAAATTTTATGAAATGCAAATTATTGAAAATTAAATTCCAATTAGATTTAAAAAAAAAAAAAAAAACAGATTATACAAAAACATCATAGGATAACATAGATCATATACATAATATATGTTTGGAATATGTAAATGTTATCCAAATGAGAAAATAGTGTTAATAATATGCATAAAAAGGATTTCGATTAAAGACTTTAAAAATTTTAATATTTATATGTACATTATTGCATTAAAAACTCCTAATAGATTTTGGAAAAATTTCATTATGTACATATTTATATACATACATAAGTATACATATTAGTTCATATACATATAATGTCCTTATTTTTCATTTTTACATACAATAATTATCCGGTTTTGTAGAAAGATAACATTATTACTATTAAAAAAAAAATTTTTTTTTTTTACGCTACAAATATTCTCCTTGAGTATGTATTTAGGATAATTAAAATTATATATTTTACATACATATACACAATATTTATTATATGTGTTATTTTTATGTATATATATATATATACACACCCTTCAGAAGCGGCAGTGGCGTCACCATCTTCTTTATTTGTATTTTCAGTAGTTTTATCATTTACAGCAGCAGCAGCATTTGTATCATCACCGTTGGTTGCTGCTGCTGCCGCATCTTCTGTAGTGGCGTCATTAGCGACTTGGTCTTTTTTTTCTTTTGATGCGCACCCGCCCATTTTTTTTTTTGTTTCGTATTTTTTTTTTTTTTTAATGTGTAAAAAAAAAAATTTATGAAAATTGAATAGAATAGAAAATTATAATAAAAAAATTATTCCTATTATTTTATGTTTTTTTTGTTTTAGGTTATGTTTTTTAATTTTCTAATGATGAAATTGATTAAGACAAAAAAATTTTATAAATTAAAAAAAATGAAATTTAAATTAAAAAATAAAATTGAATTTTATTTTTTTTTTTTTGGAATTATTTTTTGGTTTGTGGTTTTGCGGTTTGTTTAATTTTTTTTTATTTTTTTTTTTTTAATATTTATTAAAATATTTTTATTTGATCACAAATTGTTGCAAAAAGGATTTTATATAATGAAAAAACAAAAAAATTTAAATTATTACAAATTAATTATGTATGTATGTATATTTTTATAATATTTTAGATTTTTTTATGAATAATATTTGAGAGTGTATATATGTATATATTATGTTAATAAAAAATTTTTTTTTGTATATTTACACACAAAGAAAGCAGTGATTTTGCTCTTATAAGAAAAATATAAAAATTTTAAAATTATCCTTAATAATTATTTTAGCGTTTTTTTTTTTGTTTTGTGTTTTTGGTTTTTTGTATTTTAAATGGTTAAAAGTTTAATTTTTTTTATGATTTACATAAAAATATTAAATTTTTTTTTGATTTTTTTTAATATAAATTAATATAAAATATATTTTTTTTTTGGTTTTTTTTTTTTTTGAATAAATGCGTTGTTCGATTATCGTTTGATTTTTTTTTTATTTAAGAATAAGAATTGTGTATGTGTGGACCATCTAATGTTGAATTAGAATCCTACTATAATCCTATATAGTAAAAAAATGTGATTTTTTTTGGCTTTTTTTTTTTTTTTTTGGTTAATTTCACTGAAAATTAATTACAAAAACTTATTCTCTAAGATTTATAAAATTTTTTAATTAATTTTTTTTTTTTGGTATTTTTTTTTTTTGTTTGTTAATCACTGTGACTATTATAAGATTATTCCATGTAGTTTTTTTTTTTTTTATTAAAAATTACAAGAGAATTAAAATTTGTTTTTTGTGCGTTTTCGTTAAAAAATTCAATTAGGTGGTGTTTTTATAAATTTTTCCAAAAAATTTAAAATAAGATTTAAAAATTTTTTTTTCTGAATTTTGTATTTCAGATTTGAAATGGAAAAATGTTGGCGTTATTTAAAAAATTTATTAAAGTTTTTATTTATTTTATTCAAAATATTTTATATATGTAAGTATGTAGTAGACGACTAGATAGACACACTGGTATATTTTTTTTTTATTTGTTTTTAGAGATTTTTTTTTCAAAAAATCGTGTTACCAAATTCCAAATTCTTATTTATTAAAAATTATACTAAATTTTAAATATAAAAATTCTATTGCTATGTTATTAATATTTTTCTGTTAAAATTTCCAATAGGATATTAGAAAGAAGAAAGAAAAAAAAAGAGAAAGGAACAAATAAAAAAATCAAGGTGTTTTTTTTTTAATTTGGTGCTTGCTGCTGGTAATTTTTTTTAATATCAATTTTTTTTTATCCTTTATTTTTTTTTTGTATATAGGGTTTCCTTTTTATATTATAATGGAAAAATTCCAATTGATAATTCTAAAATGAATAATGGAAAAAAAACACCAACTAAATTATTTTTTTTTTTTTTTATTAAAAAAAATTTTTTTTCCTTTTTATTTTTTTATTTTTTTTTTTGTATTAATATTTAATGAAAAGGTCGCGCCCAGACCCTAATACGAGCGCGCTGCCAACGAACAAACGAACGAACACACTACAATCAGGAAAATTAAAAAAGGAACTGAAAATTTTCAAAAAACTGCTCAACATATCCTGGAAATTATATCTATCTATCTATCTATCAATGTATCTCTCCGGCATTTTTGTAGTATTACAATTTTATACAAATAAATTGTATGTAATATATGAAAATACATATTTAAAGATAATATTTTTGTATTGTTGTATACAAGTACATTTTATTATGAAAAGCAAAAAAAAAGGATATTATAAATATATATATATATATATATATATATATATATATTTATATGAATTTAATTTAATAAAAAGAAAAAAAAAATAATAATAACACGAAATAAATAGAACATAATAAAGAGCACACGTTATAAAAAATAATGCGAGGAAATTACATACCGCATATACGAGAGATACTAGATAGAATATTTATATGTACATACTAAGTACATACTTATACATATTTGAAATATTATTATACATATGTACATATACATTTTATTATTTAGATAAGAAGGTTTGTGTATATAATATTTCGTTTATTGTATAAAAGTTTTTATAATTATTATATTAAATATTTTGAGTAAGGAATGATATTAAGTGTATATTAAAAGAGGCAAACAGTGGTAAGTTTTTAAGTCTCTTATGTCATAGAAATTTTTTTTTCAATATGATTTCATATGAATATGTTCATGTGTGTATATAATATTTTTTTTTAATAATATATAAATTTTATTTTATGTCTACAAATGTATGTATGGGGTAATTGTTAAAAATTAAAAAAAAAATGCTATGGCAAAGAAAAGTAGAATTAAGGCCCCGATTATTTATGTCTACATAATATGTTATGTAATTATGTAGTTTATCAAATAGTAGAGAAAAGTTAATAATTTGTATTATGAATGTCTACTTGGTAAAAACGATTATTAATGTTAACTATGTAATAAACCGATTATCAATGTTTACTCTTATAGAATACATATAGAGTTTTCTCAAAAACTAGAGTGTGCTGTATTATGAATGCTTTGCTTGCTATATATACATATAATAATTTAGATGATAATTAAATTTTTTTAATTTTAAAATTTATCGTACTTTTGTTATAGATTTTAGATTTTAAAAGTATAAAGA